GGACCTAGTCCACTCCATATACCCTCTCCCCCATATAAACATCTCATGTACTTCCTATAAGCTTTGTAGAAAAATGGCTACTTCTCAAATACATATCTTGGTTTCTGGTATTTCTACTCCAGCTCCTCATCTGAACTAGTAGGGATTGCCCATGAAAGCACATGATAATTTAAAGAAATATGTGTTACCCTTTAAGGAGCGGACCTAGTCCACTCCATATACCCTCTCCCCCATATAAACATCTCATGTACTTCCTATAAGCTTTGTAGAAAAATGGCTACTTCTCAAATACATATCTTGGTTTCTGGTATTTCTACTCCAGCTCCTCATCTGAACTAGTAGGGATTGCCCATGAAAGCACATGATAATTTAAAGAAATATGTGTTACCCTTTAAGGAGCCGCAGGACGACTTGTTTTTAAATACATTCAAGTTTGTGAGATGCTCAGAGTTGCTATGTTGATGAGGGCCTTAGGAAGATGCATCCACATTTATGCACCTAGTAATAAGATGAGCAAAGGGCGGCAACAAGAATTTAAGATCCACATTTTCATACCTGTCCATTGGCGTCCTGAATGAGTGACTGCTTTTGAAAACACTACCTCTGGATAGTTTGACTTAGTAGCGGTAACTGTTTATTGTACAGACTGGCAGATTTCCTTCCTCCAAACAATTCCTTCATTCTTCAAAGCATATCCCCATGAAAGAAGTAAAAATAAAGTGCCGAAGCAACGTTCTTTCATTTTAAATAATTGTAATTGATGGTGCAGAGAACGACAGGGAGCTTGGGAGGGCTGAATCTATTTCTCTTTCATATGACCAGCATTCATTGGACCATCTTATCAGTTCTGTAATGTTTCCTACAGATGCTTAGATCCCCATGTCTGAGTGTGGAAAGACACCCCTCTCTTAGTCCATGGGTACCAAGAAACAGAAAGGGTTATGAAATGCACAGTCTCCCCACATCAGTGACATACCTCTCCCATTGTCCTACCACCTCCTGATCCTCACATCAGAACACAAATCAGGGGAGAATTGGTACAAGAACTCCATAGAGCACAGAAAAGGATACAGAGTAGCAGGAAGCTGTCAAAACTCCCTTTGGTTCCCCCACAGAAATCACACTCATCACCCTTGGAACTGCCCAATTGAATCAAAAGCACTGGAAAGAGGAGGGAGCTAGATTTCATGCCCCCACCTTCATCCCAATGCAGCCAGTTCCCCATTTTGAAAGCACATCACCTATATTTGGATGCGCACACAGAGGCAGTAGCCGAATGCAACTCTCATATCATTGGAGACCTGCATCCCTTGCTGTAATACAGATGCATGTATAGTAACAAGATAATAATGAACAATACCACCATGGGCTTTGCAAAATGGCATCATTGTACGGTGGGAACTGAATTCACCTCTTCGCACTGCCCATCACTCAAACAGCACTGGGATGAACACATTCAAGAATTTGTCAGCAATTTATTCTTTGCTTTCCTCACGGCGTCCTTCACCTCCCTGTTCCTCAGGCTGTAGATGAGGGGGTTCAACATGGGGATCACTACCGTATAAAATACAGAGGGAATTTTATCCATTTCCACGGAATAGCTGGAGATGGGTCGGAAACAGATGTAGAGTTGGGTGCCATGAAACATGCCCACCGCGCACAAGTGGGAAGCGCAGGTGGAGAAGGCTTTGTACCGGCCCTCGGCAGAGCGGATCCGCAGGATGGTGGAGAAGATACAGATATAGGACACAAGAATGGTCACAAGACTGATCACTATGCTGCAGCACGTGGAAACAAATATCAGAATCTCACTGGTGCGGGTGTCAGAGCAGGAGAGAACCAGCAGTGGGGAGCAGTCACAGAAGAAGTGTTGGATGATGTTGGAGCTGCAGAACGACAGCCGGAATATAGAACACGTCAGTGTCACTGAATCCACCAATCCCACAGCACACACCCCAGCCACCAGCAGGTTACAACGCTGTCTGGACATGATGACCGTATAGAGCAGCGGGTTACAGATGGCCACATAACGGTCGTACGCCATCACAGCCAGCAAGAGAGACTCAATATCTACACAATGAAGAAAGAAATACATTTGCACAGCGCAGGCAGTACGAGAAATGCTTTTCCTCTTGGCTAAGAAAATATGAAGCATCTCAGGGACAATCACTGAGGAATAGCAGAGATCAGAGAAAGACAAATTTCGGAGGAAAAAGTACATGGGGGTGTGGAGTCGGGAGTCAGTTGTGATTAACAAAATCATCCCCCCATTTCCCACCAGGGTGATAACGTAAATCAGAAGGAACAACGCAAACAGGGGGGCCTGCAGCTTCGGATGATCTGTCAGTCCTGAGAGTATGAACTCAGTCGCTTCCGAGTGATTTCCCTCTTCCATCTCCTCTGAGCTGAGAACAGGCAGGTCCATCTATGTGGTCAGATGGATGGATACGGAAATGTGTCCTTTCCCTGTTATGAAGTTAGTGATAAAAATGGAGGTCAGTTTTTTAATAGATAGCAGTACGAGATCAGGGAAGGGCTTAGTTCACAGAGCCAGATGTTCACAGCTGGACTTTGCGTTTCTTTGATCAATTTCATACACCGTACACATACAGGAACACACACAAACCTTCCTGTTCTCTATTCTGAGCAGCAAATAGCGACTTGTAACTTTGTTGTGGGAGAATGAGGGTAAAAGCATCTGTGTCTAACAAGATCATTGCTGAGCTCATGAAGGGCTGAGAGTAAACCAGTGTCGAACTCTTTGCCATTTTTTGAGGAAAGGGAGCTCTGTGGCTCGGCATGTCAGTTGCTCTGTTAGATAATAAAGCTCTTTGGCATCTGATAACGGCATTTACATTAGTCTGTATTAAACGCATGATATGTAAAGACAGGAAGGCATCGGCTTCTGTGACTATCTAGTGGCCTATTAATTCAAAGCAAATTTCTCATCCTTTAACTCAATAGGCAGGAGCTAGGACTTCAGTCAGAGACGCTGTCCGTGTGGGTGTGTGACAGACCCAGGACAACAACACATACCTGCGAACAGCAGAGAGAGACGTGGCAGCGTTTCTCCATCGATAGAAACCGACAATTTGGTGTAATTGGGAGCTTTTATTCTGAGATCTGTGATCTATGGGACAAGATCCCTAGAGCTAGTTGGAATACCTGAGTTCAGAGAGACACAAAAACAAATTAATGAGCTCAGTGAATTTCAGACATGGGACTAATACCCTGCGGATTAATTAGGTGCCTTTTTTCCTCCTGCATCAATAAATGACGCAATTTCTATGAGAGTTACAGAGTCCAAGCCTGAGGGATATTTCTTTCTGCTCTTGTCACTATAAGCTGGGTGCTCTGTAGATCTGAGCCAGAAATGGTGTGTTTGTGGAGACCCATATATTTCACCTGAAAGCTTAATATTTCAGCTCAGAAACAAAACACACAGAGATGGCCCACATACCACATCCTCCCAGCGAAACCAGTGATTTCAGCTCTCAGGGTATGTCTGCACTAGCCACCCTAGTTTGAACTAGGGTGGCTAGTGTAGACCTACCCTCAGAGAGTGTTACTAAATGTTCACAGTCTTGCTGGAGGGCATAACAAGTGGGATACTGCAGAGGTCTGTTTTGGGACCAGTTCTGTTCGATATCTTCCACAACCATTTAGATACTGGCATAGAGAGTGCTCTAATTAAGTGTGCAGATGATACCAAGCTTAGAGAAGTTGCTACTCCTTTGGAGGATTAAAGACCAGTAAGTCTAACTTCAGTACTGGGCAAATTAGTTGAAACATAGTAAGAATAAAATTGTCAGACACGTAGAAGAACATAATTTCTTGGGCAAAAGTCAGCATGGTTTCTGTAAAGGGAATTCATGTCTAACTAATCTATGAGAGTTCTTTGAAGGGATCAACAAACATGTGGACAAAAGGGGGTCTAGTAGATATAGGGTGCTTAGGTTTCCAGGAAGCCTTTGACAAGTACCCTCACCAAAGGCTAAATGGTAAATTTTCTGGGAAGGGAGAGGGGTAACTATTGGTGTTCCGCAAGGGTCAGTCCTAGGACCAATGCCATTCAACTTGTTCATAAATGATCTGGAGAAAGGGGTAAACAGTGAGGTGGCAAAGTTTGCAGATGATACTAACCGGAAGTTAAGACGGAAGCAAACTGTGAAGAACTTCAAAAATATCTCACCAAACTAAGTGACTGGACAACAAAATGGCAAATGAAATTTAATGTGGTTAAATGTAACGTAATTCACATTGGAAAAAATAACCCCGACTATACATATAATATGATGGGGGCTAATTTAGCTACAACTAATCAGGAAAGAGATCTTGGAGTCATCGTGGATAGTTCTCTGAAGAGGTCCATGCAGTGTGCAGCAGCACTCAAAAAAGCAAACAGGATGTTAAGAATCATTAAAAAAGGGATAGAGAATAAGACGGAGAATATCTTTTTGCCCTTATATAAATCCATGGTACGCTCACATCTTGAAAACTGCGTACAGATGTGGTCTCCTCACTCAAAAAATGTTTTGGCATTCGAAAACATTCAGAGAATGGCAACTAAAATGATTTGGGGTTTCGAACGGGCCCCATATGAAGAGAAATTAACAATACTAAGACTTTTCATCTTGGAAAAGAGGAGACTAAGGGGGGATATCATAGAGGTCTATAAAATCATGAGTGGTGTGAAAAAAGTGATTAAGGAAATATTTTTTATTTGTTCCCATAACATCAGAACTATTGGCCACCAATCGATACTAATAGGCAGCAGCTTTAAAACAAAGAAAAGGAAGTTCTTCACACAGCGCATAGTCAATCTGTGGAACTCTTGGTCGGAGGAGGATGTGAAGGCTAGGACTTCCTGCTGGAGGCTTGTGGCCTGGACACACCTTCTCCTGGCCAAAGAGCAGATGTGGGGTCCTCCAGGGAAGCTAGAAAGGCTGTTTCTGCTTCAGCCAATCAGGGCCCAGTATAAAGAAACTGCTGGGCCAGGGCCTGGTGGTTCCTCTCTGGAGTTAAAGCGAGGCAGCCCCACGGATGGACTGTGAACGCTGTGGTTCCTTCGACAGCTCCAAATATGGGCTGGTTTGCAGACTCAGCAGAAGCCCAGGTCCGGTGGCTGAAGACCGGCCGTGTTGGGCTAGGGTGTACTACAGAATCCTGGACAGGGTGCAGTGAGGAGTTTATCTCATAGCCCAGAAAGAGGGCAAGGAGAGGGCAGCTTCTTGGAGGAGATGACCAGGGAGTGAGCAGCAGTGAGCAGTAAATACACTTAGTAGGCAAGTGCTAGGTCTGGTGCCCCTGGGCCAGGATCCAGTGGTGTGGGTGGGGCCATAGGCTCCCTCGGCTCCTTGTAGCTACAGGAGTGGGTAGGAAAGAAGCCTGGTCCCAGGCGACCAAGAAGAAAGGACGTCTGGGATCCTTCGACACCCAAAGCCAGTGGGAGGAGAAGAGTTTGTGGAGACCTCTCCTCAGCCAAAAGGGGGAACTTGCAAGATATGAGCCATTTACACCCCCATTTGCTCCTGCTGTTCATCATCCCTTGACACAGTGACGAAGACACAAAATGAAACCAGGGGTGGGTGAACCTTTCCACACATAGTGCTGGTCCATTTTTTTCCCCACAAATGTAGGCCATGAGCTAAAAAGCTGGCATTGGAAAAGGGAAAAGTGGTGGGATTGAAATGATTCATCCAACTCAGAATCACTCTTTTTTTTTTTGGTTAACTTTTCAATTCACCAGACCTTTCATCTGGTTTTGGTGTCGGTAAATGGATATTTTTCCCCCAGAGGAACCTGACAAGTTAGTTCCAGGTTCAGTTCTATTCATGTCCCCTTCACAGAGCTCTGAGTCACAAAGTTCCCTGAACACCTGCTCTTCAGAGTCTACCATGTTTTTCCAGTAGACCAAAGAGGAAGGAATCACCATGAACACGGTGATGTTGGGTGGGATGTGACTTTTGTGTGTTTATTTCGCTTCTAGAAGGAACACCCCAACCCTAAATGCCATTTTGGTGTTCAATTCAATGCAGAATGTCAAAAAGGATGCCCTCAGGCAATGTGCTCCCATAGGGTATGTCTACACTAGCCTCCTAGTTCAAACTAGGCAAGCTAATGTAGGCATTTGAAATTGCAAATCAAGCCTGGGATTTAAATATCCTGCTCTTGATTTGCATCTTCCTGGAAGGTCACCATTTTTTAAATTTACAAGTCCGGACTAACTGCCCGTGGCTACATGCGACAGGGACCCGGTAGTTCGAATTAAAGTCCTAATTCGAACTACCTGTTATTCCTCCTGTAAATTTCAAAAATGACAACCGGTAAGGAAGATGCAAATCAAGCGTGGGCTGTTTAATTCCCAGGCTTGATTTGCAACTTTGAATGCCTACATTAGCCTCCCTAGTTCGAACTAGGGGGCTAGTGTAGACATACCCATAGAAACTTTACATTTTTTCCTTTTTGTTTTGTAGCTGTCTTAATCTGTCATACAGGTCATTCTGATGTACGGAATTGTGCCACACTGCCTGCATAGAGAGCCCAGCAGGCAGAGGGGAGAGAGAGATGGCTGAGGTGACCTATTTTTCTCCCAACACAGAGCCCTGCGCACTTGCAAAGCTCATCACATGGATTGCTATATCTGTACATTAGCAAGAAATACCCTTAGTGCCTACTACAAAGAGTCCAATGTCATGTGATGCAATGCCTACCAGACCTGACAAACTCACTGCATCTAATGTATAGCTCGCCTTCAAAAACCCTGGTGTGATGGAACCATCACACAGCTCTGGCCAGGTATCATACGTGAAAGCAAATCGACCAACCAAAAAAAGACATTGGTTTGTCTTGGGAGGCTGGCAGGCCACAAGCCAGTTGGATCAAAGCTGAATGCTGCTAAATACAAAGCTGGAACCCGTCTGGCTCTCCCGTGTGTTGTTAAGGTTCAAAGAGATATTAGATTTATATAGATGTGTTTAAAGTTTAGACTCTATGAATTGTGGTTAAGTTGCTGCCAGCATTAATATCACTCCTAGCACCTGCAGTACCACTAGTAGGGAGGATAAAGAGGGGACCTACCTTGGATCCCACCACTTCAAAAAGGTCCTGAGCTCCCAGCTCCCAATTTATTTATAACAGGGAAAAAAAGGTAGCTGTCAATTGTAGGACAGGTGCTATTGAGGCTAATTAAGTGGCTGGAAGTGTCCCCACCTTCGCTTTTGATGTAACAATGCAGTTTGTGTTTTGATGAAGCCCAAGGAATCAGGGTCAGATTTGCAGAGTTTTGCCAATTCTGCATTCTCTCTCTATGATCAGCTGCCGAAAATGATGTCGAAAAATTCCTATTTCCTGGTTTTCATGACATTCTAAGCATTAATGTGCTGCGTCTTAATA